CATGAGGATTTGGCACTGGGCACTCCTGGCCCACCATGAAGCTTTGCCCCACTCAGACTCAGCCCTACCAGCAGCCCTCAGCCTCAGTGTGGACGTCACCAGTGATGCCACACGATTCTGGCAGGGCTCAGCACCCACTGATGCCCCGGCTGCTCCCATCACCTTCGCCACCCTGCCTCGACCTGCCCGGCACACCCCAAGGTGCTGTGGGAGAAATCCTCTCCCCATGGGTCCCTAAGGAGCACATCCCTGCCATCCGAGGGCCCTGCCTGCGCTTCCCAGCTTGGGTGCAAGGACTGATGGGGACAGCAGCCCCCCCAGCCCCCTCCCACGGGCAGCCAGCCCCCTCGGAGATGCTCTGTGCTGGCACCACCATCCCTGCACTGAGGAGCCACAGCACGGCCGGGGGTGGCAGGCAGTGTGCCAGCTTCACAGGGAGGGATTTTACCTTTAACTCTCCTTCTTCCCCTCCAGTCAGGGACTCTGGGGATGCTCCCCATTGTCACCATCCCCATCCTGCCATCGAGGGCTTGGCTTGTGGCTAGAGCAGGTGCAGGCACAAGGGCAGCGATGAGGGGAAAACAGGCACCCCTTGGGCTGCAGGGATGCGTCCAGGGCCAGGCACAGGGATGGCTGGCACAGGCACCATCGGGCAAGGAAGGTGGGTGAGCAGACAGGGCAAGCTGTCCCTGTCTCTGGGGCCACTCGCAGAGAGCTCTGCCTGGCTGGGACCTGCCTGCACCACCTCCAAAGGTGGGACACACTGACCCTCCCTTTCCCTGTGAGTACCAAACCCCTATTCAGGCCCTCCTTGCCTTTTTCAGCCGGGGTCGGGACGGATCCCTCGATGCCACCGTGGCAGTTCTCCCCCAGGCCCCTGAGCTCCCCATTCCAGGGCTGCCCAGGGCTCCTTGGGGAGCCGCCTTTCTCGCTCTTTGCTGTGCCCTGATAAGGGCTGCCTGGGCCAGCCCTTGCCATGGTTCCTCTGTCCAGCGAGCCTTGCCACGCCAGCACTGCCTCAGCCACACCGTCCATGACACAGCTCCCCCTGCAAGGGGTCAAAACAGGATCAGGCTCCAGCTCCTAACATCCATCCCCAGCCCTGCCAGGCTCAGGGGAATAGAAAAGGGAGCTAATCCCAATTGCTCCAAGAGCTCCGGGCAGGGCTCTGGGCTCTGGCAGCGGGGCTTTGTTCAGCAGTCTGCAAAGGCGTGTGCACACCCGCGGCGCTGGGCACACGGGGGGATCACTCCCTGCCCCGCTCTGAGAGAGCTGTGGGCATGACGGGCCTGAACCACGGGCAGGGAGGAACCGTGGGCAGAGCAAAGCTGCCCAGGGAAGGGAGAAATGGGCAGGCACCTGGAAAAAGGGCGGCTGATTTACTGCACCAGGCCCCAGACAAGTTCAAGGTGATGAGGGGGAGGGCGGCACAAGGGCCAGCAGCCCCTCAGCAGCTGGTTTTACCCTGTCCCTCCCTGTGTGCCCGCTCCAGCCCTCCGATCCAGCACCAGAAACCTCCCTGAAAACAGGATCTGTTTTTCCCGGGCGAGGATTTCAGATGGGATCAAGCAGGAGCAGCGGGGCAGGGCTCGCCAGGGCAGGCGGGCACGGCGGACGCCGCGGGGAAAGCGAGGATCTCCTGAAGGTTGCGTTTAAAGAACAGCCTCATTGTTTTTCCCAAACAATACTCAGCAGATGGGAGAATTGAAAGTGTGTTGCAACCTTCCCTCTCTTCCCCCGCCATGCCCGGCTTGCTGCTCCCATCCTTTGGCAGCCGATCTGAGCTCCCGGCTGGAAACCAGTTCTCCGGAGCTACTGGTGGAGGAGGAGAGCACCGGTGTTGAAAAGAAGCTTTTGGGAAGGGGGCTTGCCAAAGGATGCCCCATGAGATGTGCCCAGCAGGCAGCTCCCTGCTCCAGCCACATGCCTGCAGCAGCGGTGGCAGCTCAGTGATGTGTGGAGCCCGGCTGGGAGAGGTGGGATCCCCTCGGATGCCTGGAGATGTGGCTGTGCCCGTGCCACGTGGCCGCAATGCTTCTGGCAGCCCAGCTCCACCCCCAGGCCCCGAGTTGTGCCCGTTTGCTGGCACCAAGGTTTGTGCCAGGCCGGCTTAGCCAGGTGCTCCCCGATGCCCCTCGGATCCTGAGCTGCTGACTGTGGCACACACGGGGGTCCGTGCCTGGCCACTGGCTCTTTGTCGGGCAGTGTGGGTGAATCGCCTTTGCCACCCAAAATCAGCTCTGCACCCCTGGGCATGGAGCCTGGCAGAGGGAAGAGGGTCTCTGAGCAGACCCTGGTGGGATGCCCGGTTTCTAACATTGCAGTGGCCTTGGAGGATGGAGCCAATCCCTCTTCATTCCCATCCTGCAGGAACCAGGGTGGGGGGCTGGGGTGTGTTGGGGGCACTGCCAGGTACCAGGGGTGAGCCAGAGGTGTAGGAGCATCACCAGTCATAAAATTTGCAATATTCCCCCACAAGAAGTATCCCAAATATCCCCCCACTGTGGATCCAGGAGCCAAGGATAACTGTTACCCTTTGGAACTCCCTTTGGCTCCTGGGCAGCAGCTCCCAGGGGACACACGTGCAGGTCCCTGGAAGGTGCTGAGCTCCAGGGTTATTTTGGAGCCCGGGCAGCCGGACACCCCCCGGCCCCCGCCCCGCTTCCCCGTGGGCAGGGTGAGGCCTCGTGCGTGGCGGCGGTTCCGGTGCTGCTTCCCTGCTAATCTCAGCAGCTCCCTCTTGACTTCCCGGCCTGGCCCCGAGGGGGGACAGAGGTGAGCTGTGGAAGTGGGAGGAAGTCCCCAAGCAGGGACACAGTGCTGGGCAGGGCACAGAGCCACCCTGCAGCCTGACGGGACACACGGCCGAGGCCGCGGCCAGGAGCGTGTCCCGGGCTGTGTCCCTGTGCCAGGGCTGTTTTGGGGTCGCTGGGCTCCCCAGCTCGGGCCCGCTCCAGCTGCGGGTGCCGGTGCCAGGGCAGCGCCAGCTCCGGGTCTGGCGGTGCCGGTGGCGGGGAGATGCGCAAAGGCCAAGGCAGGGCGGCTCCCGAGCACGTTCCAATGTATCCACATCACCATCCGCAGCTCCCGAGCCCGCGCGGGTGGGATGGGAACGGCACCGGCACCGGGAACGGCTGGGCTGGAGCTGGGCACCGTGGCTGGTCCCACCCGAGCCGGGCTGGGCCGGAGCTGAGCCCGTGTTGGGATGATGAGGAGGACACCAGAGCCTTCCCCGTGCCTGGGCAGTGGGGCAGAGGATCCGCGGAGGAAAAACCAGCTCCCTTCTGTGGGAACAGCCCGGGTTTGTGAGGAGAAGGGCTCCTGCCAGCCCCGGCCCGGCCAGCGACCGCACGGCTGCCCACATCACACCAGCACTGCGAGCTGGCAACAACAGCGCTGCCAACCCAGCACCAGCTGGAGACTGGGAGGGTTGGGAGGTGGTGGGACCCCTGAGAGAGATGAAGTCAGGGGGGAAAGGCTGGATGGCAAGGAAAGGGAAAAAAAGAAAGAAAAAAATGGAAAAAAAGAAAGAAAAAAAGGGGGAAAAAAAAGGAGAAAAAAGCAAGCAAGAAAGCAAGCAAGAAAGAAATAGAGCAAGGAAAAAATTAAAAAGAAAAATTAGAAGGGAAAAAAAGAAAAAGTACAAATAAAAAAAAACAGAAAGAGAAAAAGAAAGCAAAAGAGTTAAAAAAAAAAAAAAAAAGAAAAAGGAAGAAAGAGAAGTAAATAAGCCAGATTGAGGTGTGACCCTTGCCAAGTCAACCACACAACAGGGAGCAGCACCTCAGGGTCATTTGAGCAGCCCTGGCGCTGCCCACCCTGCCCGTGTCCTCAGCAGCCTCACGCTGCGGCCGGGGGGAGCCGGGGCCGGCCCCACGCTGTCCCCGGAGCTCAGTGAGCCGCGTGGGGACCCCACGGACCGTGGGGCAGAACCGGGGCCAGGCCCGGGTCCTGCAGCGGCCCCCCCGCCCCGAGCGGGGCCTGTGGGCGCAGCACGAGGCCGGGCCCGGAGCGGGCAGCGGCCGCCAGCAGGGAGCAGGTTCCGAGGCAGAGAAAGCTGCCTGCTCAATAATTAAATAAATATCAGCGATCGATAAGCACAGTGCACAGGCAGAGCCGCAGTGGTCGTGCTGTGGGCAGGGGGGGTTCCCGAATCTCCCCCTGCGGCCATCCCGGGACGCCCCGCACCATGGGCCCAGCCACGGCGGCGTGGCCTGCGGTGACACCGGTGTCCCCAGCACGGCGTGGGGCTGTCCCTCGGCACCCCGACACCCTGGCGGGGGCTGGCATCGCCCCTCGCCTGGCACGCTGAGGGGGTGCCCCCACATCCTGCCGTGCACGGCCCCCCTGCCCGCCAGCGCAGCGTGGCACGGCCGGGCGCACATTGTCCCCAAGCTGGAGGGTTCTGAACAAAATGCCCCCCAACCCCCTGCACCCCACCATGTGCAGCCAGGCTGGGGGAGGGAAGGAAAAAGTTTCACGCTACGCAAGAGGCAGCACGGCCGAACCCGAGCCTGCAGCGCCGACCCCCCCCAGGCTCCCCGAGCCCACCCAGGACCCCCCGCACCCCACGGTGTCCCCCTCACCCCCAGAGCCGGCGGCTTCCCCGCACCACCCACCTCTGCACGCAGCGAACAAAAAATAAAACCCAAACCACAACGCAATCCTCCAACCCCCCCACGCCCCAAGTGAAAGTGAAGGCTGAAAAAACCCAAAAAGCACCAGAAACACCATAAAAAAACCCTGCGAAAGGCGAGGGAGGGGGACAGGAGGGGAACGCGGCTCCTCTGAGCAGCCCTGCACGGCCCCAACCCGCCTTTATCTGTTACGATTATTTTTAGGGAGGGAGGTGTTGCATTTTCTTGGGTTTTCTTTTCTTTTTTTTTTTTTCTTTTTCTTCTTTTTTTTTTTTTTTTTTTTTTTGGAATTTCAACTGCTAAAGTCTGTTGCGGCGAAAGGAGCAAATTGAGGGGAGGGGGACGCGGGGGGGTCCCGGTTACCTGGGTCAGGCAGAGAGGAGACGAATACATCCCGAGCCGTGCTGGGAAAGTGCCTAATTGCAGGGCTGAGACTCGAGGCGTAAAAGTTACTGAGTCATTTCGGAGGCTGGAGCAGTCCGGGCGTTTTTTCTCTCTCTCTCCTCCGGAGCGGCTCTGCGGGGCCCGGGGGGGGGCAGCCGGGCACGGGGGGGCGGCCCCGCGGGAGGGGGGGCCGAGGAGGAAATAAAAAGATTCCAACTTCCACCCCACCGCCAAAAAGACTAAAAAAAAAAAAAGAAACCAAACCAAAACAAACCAACCCTTAAAAAAAATTAAAAATAAAAAGCAAAATTTCTCCCCCCCCGCTTGGAAAATAAAGCGCTTTTTTGTTGTTGTTGTTTGTTTGGGGTTTAGGGGGGGCGGTTTAAAGAGGCAGAAGGGTCATCCTCGCCCCGGGGGGGGTCGGGGGTCCGCACCCAGCCTGCAGGCACGGGTGGCGGGGAAGTTAGAAGGGAAGCGGCTCCATCCGAGACCCAGGCAGCGGAGAGAGAGAGGAAAGAAAGAATGAGAAAATGAAAAAAAAAAAAGACAAAAAAAAAAAAAAAAAAAAAACGAGGAATGAAGTGACGTTATGAAAAAAGCCCATCCCAAAATATTACATCCCATTTAAAGATGTAGGAACCCCCTTTGGCTCGCAGGGCCGAGGCGCTGCGGGGCAGGGGGGGCGGGGGAGGGACGGGGCGAATCCCCCTCGGCCCGGCGCGGCCAGCGCGGAGCGCCCAGCTTTGCTTCTTTTGGGGGCTTTATTTGTTTCATTTTTTTCTTTTTTTTTTTTTTTTAACTAAACGGAGCCAATCCGGCGATGGGAGAGAAAAAAAACCTGCAGATTCATGTGCAACTTCTGAGCAGCGGCCCCGGAGCGGGGTGCTGGTGGTGGTGTTACTGCCCGCACCCAGCCCCGGTGCGGGGGTCCGCCCCGCCGGCCCCGCGCTGTCCCCGCCGCATCCCGCTCATCCCGCGGACACGTTTACTTCCCCCCCCACTCCACCCGCGTTATTTAACCACCGGCAGCATCACGGTGCCACGGGGGAAGAAAGCGCCACTGGCAGCCCCGCGCTCCCCCCGCGTCCCGGGGAGTCCCGCACCCCCCCCGCCCAAAGAACGGGAGGTGAAAGCAGCGGAGCCCGCACCGGCAAACTCCAAACCGCAAGTTCTCGCTCCGCAACCCTCCGGCCCCGGCCGATCGCGGCCGCTAATGACGCTAATTAGAGAGCGCGCGGGGAGCGCCACGGGCGGAACACAAAGGGGATCCCCGGGCACCTCCCGGCCGGGGGGGCCGCGCCCCGCTCCCCTCCCGCACCGGGGGTCTCCGGTCCCTTCAGGGACCTGACCCGCAGCGCGGCCGCTCCCGGCGCGGGGCCGCGGCTTCAGCGCTGCTTCTTCCCCCCGCCAAAAAAATAAGAAAACCGCTTTTTTGGCCTTTTTTTTTTTTTTTCTCTCTGCGGAGACGAGCCCCCGCATTGCCTCTTCCCGAACAACTAATTTCCACTCTCAACTTCTGCCGACCCCCGCGGCCGATCCCCGCCCGCGGTTGGGGTTCACCCCGCACACTCCCCGCAGGGACATCCCCGTCCCCGCGGGATGCGGCGGCTCCGCGCAAACTTGGGCGGGCGGGCCCGGTCCCCGCATCCTCCCGGGGCGGCTCGGGCCGCGCCGCCGCGCTGCCCCCGTGGCCTGGCAGGAGGAGAAAGCGGCCGAAACCCCGCACAGCGGGGCCGGGGGAAATGTTTTTATTCCCACATCGAGCACGGTGATTCCCTTCTCCCACCCCGGTACGGGCAGGGCGGCCCCGCGCAGCGCGGACTTGAGCGCGACCCTCCCGGGCGTCACTTCCAAGTTCAAGTCGGTGCGGCTGGCGGCCTCTCCGCCCCTTTTTTAGCGGCCATTTTCAGCTCCATCCAGTCCTCCGCTGGCTGCGGAGGCTCCCCCCGCGCCGCGCCGCGACCTCCCCGCCGGGCGGCTCCCGCCGCCGCCTCCGCCCCCCGGTACCGCGGGGCGGGTGGGCAGGGGGAGGAGAGACGGCGGCAGCTCCCCCCGCCCGCCCCCGCCGCCCCGCACCCCCCGCCCCGACACCGTATTAAACTCGCCCCGCCGCCCCCTCCCCGGCAGCAACTTTTGCTCGTGGGGGCACCCGCAAACACACGCACACGGGGGGGTGGAGGGGAGAGGGGGGAAGTAGAAGAGAAAACGAAAGTGTCATGGGACCTACCATCGCCAAGTGCAATTAACGGGCTCCAAGTTGCTGCGAAGCGCAAAGCAAAGAGGACGGATGGGCTGGTTTGGGATTTTGGTCTAAAACGTGTGTTTTCCACCGCGCCGAAGGAGGAGGAAAAAACCGCTGCCCCGCGAAAGAATTAAAAAAATTAAAACCCCAATAATAATAATAATAATAACAATGATGGTAATTGTAGCAAAAGTCCTCCGAGGCCAGCGGCACAGCCCAGTGTCCCCCGCGGGCGGTCACCCTCGCTCCGGCTCCGTCGCGCTGCCGGGGGCCATGCTCCGGGCGGGGGGCCGGGCTGCGGGCGGGGGGCGCGGGGCGGCGGTGACGGGAGCGCGGAGCCCGCGCCCGGCCGGCCTTATGCGCTGCGGGGGTGGCGGGGCTGGGGGATGGCGGGGGGTTGCGATGGGTATTTTTGGGAGGTAAGCAAAAAGAAAAATATTTTTTTTCTAAAAATTAAAAAAAAAAATTAAAAAAAAAATTAAAAAATAAATCCCGGGAGCGGGGCGGGCGGGCGGCGCCTACGGCAGAGCAAGGCGGGCATCCCCCCCGCGCCCCCCCGGCGCAGCCCCACTCCGGCCGGGCACGGCTCCTCCTCGCAGCCCGCAGCGCCCCGGCCCCATCGCCGCCGCCCCCGCCTCCTCCTCCTCCTCTGCCTCCTCCCCTCGCCCGGGGCACCGGCGGCGTTGCGGCGGGGACGCTCCCGGTGCGGGGGCGGGGAGGGAGGAGGAGGAGGAGGGAGAGAAGGAGGTGGAGGAGGAGGAGGAGGAGGAGGAAGGCTCCGGCCCCGCTCGGCCGGCAGCGCGACGGCGGCCCCCGGATGGTGCGGGTAGGTGGCGGGGGCTGCGGCGCGGCCCCCCCGGGGCCGGCTGGCTGCGGGGCCGCCCCTCCGGCCCTGCCCGGCGCGGGGGAGGCGGGGGGCGCGGCCCCGGTGCGGAGCTACCGCAGCGCGGGGAGGAGCCGCGGGCAGCGCCGGGCCCACCGCCCGGCCCCGGCCCGGGCATCCCCCGGGCACCCCCGGCCCCGCTCGGCCCTGACCGCCCGCCTCCACCCCGGGCATCCCCCGGGCACCCCCGGCCCCGCTCGGCCCTGACCGCCCGCCTCCACCCCGGGCATCCCCCGGGCACGGCCCCGGCTCCGCGCCGCGGGGACTCGCCCTCACCCTCATCCCACCCCGCTCACGGACACCCCCCGTTCCACGGACGCACCTCAGCACCCCGGAGCGGACACCCCGCCACCCCCGCTGCGGACACCTCCCTGCCACCCCCCTGTCCCCCCTGGCAGCGTCCTGCCCCGCTCCAGCCCCTCGAGCATCCTCCGCGGCTCCCCACCATCGCTGTCCCCCCGTGCTCCCGCCTTGTTCCCCGCACCCCTTCCCCAGGATCACCCCGGTTTCCCCGGGCCGCTCTGCACTGGGCCGGCCGCCCTGGGGCTGTGCCCCCTCCCCACTCCCACTCCAAAGTTGGCAGCGACCCGGGCACTGGGTTGGTGCCGCTGTGGGGGGAGAGCGATTCCCTCATTTCTATCGACCCCTTTTGTGTCTGGACCTGGATTTTTAACCCTTGTTATCGAGTAATCCTTTAATCTCTTAATCCTTTCAAATAACCATATTTTTCTATAGGAAGGCAACAAAAATTAGATATTTTTTTCAGTTTGCTGAGGGCCGAAGCGTGCATCGTGTGCCTGGATTTTTCGGCACGCTCTGTAGTCCCGAACAAACAGGAACATAATCTCCGTCTGCCTTGAGCTCAAATGGTTTCAGTGTGATAAATAATATGCTAAATAATTTATTGTATATTTTAAAAATAAAATTAAAGCAAACTACTCAGTCATTTCACTACTTTTTATTCCATACATTTTCTCCTCTTTTTTATATATTTATATTTTTTTTAGGGGAGTACTCTGAGCCTGATAATTTTTACAAGGGCTCAGCTCAAATTTAGCAGGGATTTTGGATACACAGGAGGTTTATTTTATCCATCCCCCATATCCCCTTTGCCTGTTAAACCCACCACATGCATACCAAAATACTGGACATTAATTTGTACATTCACAGGGTATTGTATTATATTATATATATATATATATAATATATATGCATATATTTATGGAGTTATTTGTCAAACACAAGTACGGCCATCGGCCTTATGGAAATGAGATCTAATTTTATTCCAGCTGTCTATAAAAAAAAAAAAAAAAGAAAAATTATTTAAATTTAAAACCTCTAGAACTTTTTCCACGTTGTTTTCTGGGGTTTTTTTTAATCACCATCTGCTCCCCCCCTAAAAAGCCACTTCCCTGTTTTAAAGCTGAAAAAAAAAGAAAAAAAAAGGCTGAAATGAGCAGTTCCCTCGGCTGGTCCCAGCTCCAGAAGCCTCGAGGAATGTAAACTCGGCGGTAACTCCGCTCGCAGAGCACAGTTTGCATTTTCTGCCCGGCTCTGAGCGCGATACGGCGCAAAAATAAACCCTGGGAAGAATTTGCCAATTTTTAACCGCTTCCAAGGCCGCCGTGGTGCCCGCTGGCAGCTCCCTCTCTCCTGCCAGCTTTTTATTTATATTTCTCCAGCGATTCCTCATCTCCCCTGGCCTGGCGTGGTTTGGGGGGGACGTGGATATTTGGGTTCAGGCCGTGGGAGATTGCTGTGCCAGGCTGGCAGTGCCAGGGCGGGCGAAGAGGGAAAATGGGAGAGAAAGGCAGGGCTGGGATTTTATTTTCCCTTCTGCGAGGCCCTGGGCTGCAGGGTGATGGGAAGGGGTTATTTATTTCTTCATGATAAAGAAGTTATTATTTATAATAAATAATTGTTTATATTTATTTATTATAAATAAACAACTGCCGTGGTTATTTATTTTTGTAATGCTGTTAAAATATTTCCTGGGTGATTCAAAGCTGGGGCTGAAGGGCTGCTGGCATTTGGTTTTGAGACATCCCCGTGGGCTTCCAGTGGCCCAGGGGCACACCTTGTGTTGCCCCAAATTCATCCCCAAAATTATCCCATTTCTCCTCTGTCGGGGGGAACTCATCCTGCAGGAACCGCAGCAGCCCTGGCCGAGGGTGGAAATAATTTCAGTGCATTGAGTGGCACCTGTCCTGGCACTGGCAGGGCTGAAGGCAGAGCAAAGGGCACCCCAAATCCTGACCCCTGATCCAGGGGTCACTCGGCCCTGGGGGTGCTGTGGGATTTGGGGTGCTGTGGGCTGTGCTGCCCATGGGGCCCAGGAGCTGCCACCAGACCCTGTGGCCACCATCCCCACTCCCCCTGCTCCCTGCCTGAACCCCAATTCCTGGTGGAACCCCTAGGCAGAAAAACAGTAAAAATACAAAATCCTTTTTTTTT